CCACAGGATCCGTGTTTTAGCGCGCTTGTGGTGAGCAAAACGCTTTCTGCGTCCGTGGAGGAATCTGATGTTACTCTAACAAGTCTGGGTTCGCCATAGTGTGGCGAGTTTGGATGATGAGTAATTCGTACTATTTTTATGGTCATGGCTTTGGAACTCATCTGCACGCACAATGAGTTCCAATGGTCTTGGTTGTCCGAAAACTTACCCCGCAATGTAATGGCGGTATATTCAGGGACATTTCAGCATACAACAGTCCGGGCACTGTTGTTGCATCCCTAAGGGATCTATGTATAGGCGTGCGATCTGGTTTAATCAACAGGTTACTGAATTGGGTCCGATGGGCTATAGTGAGCTGATTACTCAACAATCGGTTCCCGGATTCCTCAGCCGAATATTTAAAAAGGATCAGGCAGCAATGTTTCGATGATTTCTTTTTCAGACGAAGGCATTTGCTTTCAATCTCGGACATCTTGCAGGCCTTAAGTAATGCAGTTTTAACTGTAACCAAACTAAGCCTGTCAGGAATGTTAAAAATAGCTCACATTTTTCAGTCCATGCATTCTTTCATGTACCTCAGACGCAATTGAGGCCATTAACTGTTCTGCCTTTCCCATTTGAGGTGGATCAAGGTTTTCCCATGGGTTAGTGTGATAATCTAATTAAACCAGGTGACGTCGGATTGGTTCGACGATGGTTACTATTTTTCTCTTCTCGGAGAGTTCTTATTCCAATGAAGTTGACCTTATCATCGAGTTTTGAAAGAAGAGCAACAATGGGATCAGGACTGGCTGGCAGTTTGGTCGGGACCTCATTTTTCGATGGCTTTGTTCGCGCGGTGTATGAAACAATACTTTGTCGAGTGAAGCTAGGCCTTCTGGGTGTCATAACAAGGTGAACTCTACTGAGGAGAAAGCCAGATGAAGTAGCTATGAACTGTTGATGGAAATAAACGGCCCAAACAAGGTCTTAAGCGCTTGAGCTACGGGAAAATGTCACCACAAAAATAAGCGAATGCGATACAAAACAACCAGATTTTAGGGTTGTGCTATCGGTTCAGTAAGAGTTCGCTCCAGCTGATGTTATTTCAATCAAATCCAGACAGTTGCATTTCTCGAGGTTGGATTATGATGCCAGTTCCGCCTGAGGTCACGTGGCTGCTCTACACAGATTAGATTCCTGTGGAGGAAATCCAAGCTGGCGGACACCGTTGTCCGTTAGGCCAATCAATGAGATCTCCGAAAGTAAGCAGATAATATTCACTAAATTTGCACAGGTTGTAAAATACAGCAAAAGAAAAATATTGCTGCAAAATCAAAGCGAAAGAACACGTGTTATACAGTAATGCGGAAGAAAAAGTGGAAGCTAACACTGCAATTCAGAAACTCGCGGCGTCCGTAGATAGTCGTCATATTCACTAAACATATGTCCTGTCAAAACTGCCACGGCATAAAGGAGCTTAAGTTCAAACAGCCGAGAAAATAATTTCGAAAATTAATTTTTTTTTGCTATTCTCATTCCTGGCCGTGTCTAACATGAAATTGACCGGTGGGAGAGGAAAGAGTTTCGACGAAGTACGGTGCGCACATTGTTAAGGAAATAATAAAGAGCACAGATGTAAGCTGTTTTTTATTTGGAAACAGAGTATCAAATTTAGTGTTTAACGTTACAAAGCAACTATCTTCTTGTTCATGTGCTCGTATGGCGCTCATCTAAGTGTGCAAAATTGCATTTGAAGCGCTTGTAGTAATATCACTTGGTGACTGTTTACCTCATTCAGCAGATGTCGAATATGCTTGAGGGTTGTAAAGTTCACCCTGGCACCGTACAAGGCTAGAAAATATTTGCGCAGACATAGGACTATTGAGGTGAAATATTATGGAAGGCAGTAAGACACCATGTTGCTGAAATCAGTACGTTTAACCGTTACCGTTTGTACATCAAACGAATGCTGGGTTGACTTTGCGTCAGCTTATATGTTGAACACTTAACCGGAAGATAGCCAACCACATCGTTAGCTACGATAATCACCCAAACGCAGACACCTTGATTGCATTGTGGGCAACTAACAATTCAGATAGAATAAGATATAGGAGCCGAACACCAAGCAATTGGTTGTCAATTCTGATCGGATTTGATCAGAATTTGTACCCGAAAGGAAAAGGTGTAACAGCAAGCCAAGGATAAGTATTCAAAGATGTGCTTTTGAAAAATGCTTTACGCAATTAAATGCACGGTAAAGTATAATGCTTTGCTATCGTCACACTCCGGGATAAGAGTTATAAGTTGGCTGCATTTACCTCTGAGAGCAGTCGCTGTTCCTGTGGCAACGCGACACATGCTAGTTGTTGGATGACAAACGTTACTGAGCGGGCACGCAACGTACAAGAGCTAGGTTGTCAACTGTCCGGATGTAGGAGGAAGAGATTGGTTTCACCGGAAGATGTCTGGATTTCCACTAACTGTCCATCATGACCCTTTGATACTAAAAAATAAATGCATGCAACTTGGCTAGAGGTAAAAATCGGGGTAAATGTTTGCGAAGCATAGACTAACGACAATATATCCTCTCTGTTCTGTCAGAACTATCCACGCGGTCAATTGCAACTAACTGAAATTTGTTACTTTGCGAACCCAAAATTGATAGCTATCCGAGTAACATAAGCTGAAATATCTGGCTCCGATTTCCAGCTAGTATTCAAATTCCAACATTTGCAACGGTTAACCACTCACCTGCCACAATGTCGGGTTCTAAATGGTTTTCTGAAGGCAATATATATTATACTGTAATAAAGTTAACTTAACCCATGGACTTGGACCGGGAACACAATGGGCACGATGGTTAATTTAAACTCATATTTCTCTATCGTAACACCTTCATGCAAACTTTGACTAAACCTTGTTCTTCAACGGTCAGAATCTCACCAAAGTTGATCAACTGGGGTCTGTGATGCTATACACATAACAAGAAAGAGGATAAAGCATATTATTAGTAACAAATGACGCAATGACAATCACCAGTTTGAAGGGAAGCTAGTCAGCGAGGTTGACTGCGACGTTTCATTCAATAATACAACTACGAGCAGAATATGCTTCTTGGCCCACGGTACCACGTATATTATACACGAACATTTTGGCTAGTATATTTGATGCGGTTGATGTTCTACTCCATTCTCACGTAGAACAATGCCCTAGGTTAACTTTCGGGCCCGTATAGAAAGGATAACATCAGTGTGTTTATGTCCAATAACGAAACCAGTCATAAAAGTTGATAGGCGTGCAACGCAAGCGCGTATAAAACCTACGTAAGGAACGGTCAGCCGGAAGCAGATTAGACTAACATGTCAGTATCCACTATCGCGGTAAGTAGGTGACTGGCGAGTTGACTATTCATCTGGCGACTGCGAACAGATAACTTTATTTTTGATAGAGAGCAATTTTATGACGTGCATATATGCGTTTTCAAGCAAAACAAATTTACAAGAACCTAGCCCAAAAGACACGGAGAGCTACGAGGATTAATTTTAATGCAGGCGTTAATCTTTAGTATTAAAGGTAGCCAATATAATTGTAACCTGAAACTTGGGTCAGCCGTCTTCAGACGAATGGTAAATCCCATGATAAATGGATTTCACAACATTTTTATGCTTGGTACCATTGTGCATGATTGAAAGTTAGGTAGAAAGATCGCAGAGGTACTTGGGGTGTTACGCTGCTTCAGAGAAACCAACAATATTCGAATTCTAGTTGCTCGTGTTAGGGGTTTTAAAATCGGCCAACAATACGTTCAAGACAAGCCACTGGTAAACATAGTTTACGGTTGTTTTGTTAAATTTGCTCGTGTTGTGAACATACTTTCAGCGAAATGATTCCTTAACTAAGCTCGTTTCCGAAACGCATCAACCCTAGAGGAGCTAAGTGGCTGTAGTTCATGAAGATAAGAAACTGCACTGTATCGCTCCATAATTTTGCCAGAAAAGAATTTCGGTGAGACATCCATTGACGTCTAAAACACTCATTAGATCCATTTGCAAACCTAACTTATTTGCCGACTGAAGGTGCCTGCATTCAACTTACAATGAAAGGAGCTAGCCTAAAGTTTTAAGATGACATAGTTATTGTTCTACTTATAGTGCACCATTACGCTATGCAAATTGTTATCATCGCGGTTAGTGGAGCTTAGAACCGTCAGAACAAAGACTTTCACCTGGTCAGAACAATTAGTGACCACATCTCATCACATGAAATAGCCGACAAAATAAGTTAAGGTGAGTGTCAGACGAACCGTCTTGCATAGTCGGCGGCCTGATGCATATGCACCACAGTAGAGCAATGGTTGCCAGTGAATTTCACGTTCAGGATTGTGGGACGATTTTGCATTTTTTAAGGCACCGGATCGCCTGGTGTAACACGAAAGTACAGCTTCCATATTCATGTTCATGACTGAGAAATTGCAACTTGCATCAAAGTACTCGCAAATAGTTGAGAGCAGTGACGCTAGTAGTTAATCTTGTCTTTTCTCTCATCCTACACGTGTTCCATTTATCGTTATGCTTCATACGGGATAAAAGTGCGTTACTGCCTGCGGCACCGACAAGACCATTAATCCCAAACGAGGGAGAAAACCCGCAGAATGCATGATAGAAACTAGTTATTAGTAAGTCACAACCTATATAGCTGCTTATTCATCCGTTAAATAAACGGATTTATTCCGACAGCACGCTGCTAACCACTGATCGACCGGTCTCTGAACCAATTCAAAGGAAATAACGTACTACCATCATTGGAGTGTAACTTGCTGTAATCGTTTATCAAAAGGGTCACGTTAGACCATCAGTACTGACTAGATGGCAGGCGCTAAAAACGTGTTCCGGTGAACCATGAGGGACAAGAATATAGGCAGTTACACAATTTTGAACTTTACTGCTGTAGCATACATGCACACAGTATTTTAAGGATGGTTGTATTTTGCGGCTGATTTGCTCTTTCTCTTTATCAAAGGCTTCCCCATACATCACAGCAAGCGTCAGTCAGTCGAACCTGCCCAAAGTGACTTGCTGGAATATCGATTTCCCCCAGACATTGAAAATGGACACCTACCATCGTTGAATAAGGGCCGCTCCGAGGGAAAGATCAAGGCAGCGAGCATGTCCATTCTGATCTCCATGATCTGTCTCGGAATGCTGCTTTTTGCGTCAGGACTACTATGCCTGCTCTTCATTATGTACCGCAGACGTGGGTCGGAGTTTGTCCAGCGTGAATCGAAACAGCGGTCTGATGGACCATGTCGGAGCCGTTGGGCAAGAATTCCGGCACATGCCTTGTTCGGTTGGATACGGCCGAACAAACGTAGGGCTAGACGTCGAGCACGCTCCGCCTTCAGTTTCAGCGAGATGCACGGACCACCTCCAGGAAGCGGATCGGTTGCTGTAAACCTCCCACCCTATGCAGATGGCATGATGCTCCCCTATTTCAACGAAGCAGCTTCAACTGGGTTCGGTTGCGATAGCCTCGGTAGTGTTCCTAGGCCGAATGGTACTCTCGGATCATGCACCGGCTTAGTGAATCCAGTTTGTAACACACCACAGTTTGGAAGTCTGAGAACAGACATAGTGCGCACTAATGAATTGATTCGAGTAAACTCAACGGAATCGGCCAGCGGTGTCTTTTACGGCTCGCAACCCGGTGCATTGTGCCCTATTGATTCTTCCTCTCTGGGAACTGATCGCTTGGATTCTCCATCTCTCTTGAACGGTTATGCCCTACATCCGACATATAACACTGGATTGGGCTCAGGCAGCATGAAGTCTGCTCACACTCCAGGCCCAAACCCATTGTCTGGACTTGGGCTGAGTTGTGCCAACCCTATGGTAACCGGACCACAGTCTAGACGAACTGGTGAGTTTTGTTTACTGAAAATCAATCTAAATGGAATTGGTAATAGAATCAACGAAGTAATCACACTTATGGGAGAAAACACGGTAATATTTAGAGTTGGTGACGACCGTGCAATAATTTAAGTTAACGATATTAAAGGAATGGCTTTCAGATCCATCTTGGTGGCTTTTGTCTAGGACACAATCTGCAGGATTTCCGTGACAGAGTAACATATTTCATCTGAGTTTCAGGACCGTTAAGGTTACTTTGTATTAGTTTAGAATACGGTGTGAGCCGAAGTGAAACAAATATTTTACTGCCGGCAACACAGTGTTTGTGTCACTGTTCACGCAGGTTTGCGTTAAAAACGCACTCTGCTGAATGGCTTACATCTATTTTCCAACTGGTTCATTTCAAGTCACAAACCATTACTTGCAATACTTTGACAATTGGCCAAATATACCCGTGTGGGTACAAAACACAATTAAACTGAGCTCAGTTCCCATATTCTAAACAAATGTTGATCCATTTTCTGTAGGACATTCTCATATGATTCCAGTGGACCAACTCGTTGAGCACGTCCGATCACTGAAAGCTGACAACGGTCGGCTTATGGCAGCTGAATTCGAATCCATAGATCCAGGTGGTCAGTTCACATGGGAACACTCAAATCGAGCGATGAACCGACCCAAAAATAGGTACGCCAATATCATCGCCTACGATCACTCTCGTGTCGTGCTGCAGTCGACATCACCATTGGATCCCGATTCCGATTACATCAACGCTAACTATCTGGATGGATATCGGAAACAAAATGCGTACATTGCTACTCAAGTGCGTTATAGTTCGTGGGTGTCGTGTTCCAATTATTTGCTTTGTCTGTGTTATCGATTCGTCTGTTTCACCTACGCTTCTACTTAACGTTCATTGGCCCAGCTATATTCTCTCGCATCTGATTAGTTGTAGTACTTAAGCAAATTATTTGATTGTAACACGCAAATATGCAGACAGTTTTCCATACATACGTTCCGGTGCTGCTCAGGTCTGCTGCTTTTTCGGGCTACAGCAAAGTGGCGTCGCTTGGTTCTGATGTCATTTCATGCTGCTTCTCCTGAAACGTTCTGTACTGAGCCTGCGGTTAGCCCAAATGTGGAATGCTGGGAAGACTGGAAAAGCAGGGTTTTGGGTTATGTTTCCGTACTACCAGTTCTCAATTCATCCGTGACGCTGAAAACGGGTGATTTGTTAAAGGTTTTGCGCTTGCACCTCGGCTCAAAATGGTCGACGTATATTTGACGCTATAAACTTTGGGGAGAAGCCTACGTTAACAGAGGCTTTATTGGCTCTGGATAAAAATTGTGGCGTTGAAGTGAACACTTATATTCTGGGTACAATTTTTCGCATCTTAAGAGAGCACCTGGCGAATCAGTGAATACTTTCACTTCTCACCAAATTTGTTATGTTTGAAAGTATGACTACGATAGTATTCCCAACAAAAATGGTAAGAAAGTATGCTAATACAGCAATTGATTTCAGGCCTGGCAAATTCTCGGATCATAGGTAGTCTGTTAATGGAGAATGCAAAATCTCACTTGGGTCAGGGCCTACAACGTGGCTCGCACGAAGGTCGCAGTCACGGAACAAAACCAAATATTCCTATATAAAGCAGTAGCTTCTGCGATGAGGCTGGGCCCTATCATGGTGTGATAGTTTGCGTGCCTCACAAATCCATTGAGCTATGTCGGGTGGTGCCGTTTTGCACATTCAGAGTCACTCATACCAGATTGGTCAATGGTTAGAGGCCAGACAAACCCAGCATCCTGGTCTTCCACGTTGGGGGTTGGAATAAGGGTGGCTCCTTATGCCGTATTACGGACTGCTTGTAGCCCACCGCCAAACCCGCCTCCTTGCGGTCAGGTTTTTTAACCAAAGGCTTTGGTTGAGAACCCTAATCGTTCTCCTGTCTTTGCCTGAGCAACCTGACAGTATCATACCTATGCAATACAAATAATATCTCTTCTAACAGTTGCTTGATTCTCTGACCATCGCAGAGCCTAATAAACGGCGCCCTATCTGCTGCATGGAGCAAGGTGGATAGGGGTTTGGATGCTACTGCTCAAGACTTCCAGTCTTCTTATTTTCCTTTTTAAGCCTTTTCACCCATATCGTGCTGAACCAAATCCAATTTAATCTCACCAGCTTTCAAACCTCGATCCTTGGTCTTCCCCCAACATGTTTTGCTAGGCAGTTATCTTCTAGTTTTAACTCACATGCAAACGTGGAACGTCACTCTTATCCTGTCGACAAGCCCATGTCCAACCAAGCGTTGCACCCTAGTTCATCGTCTTTTATTTTGAGCCCACGATCCTCCTTCAGATTGGCATGCCTCAATGTAAGCACATTGTTACAGATCGGTCAACAGCCAGCACCTCTCCGAACGGTAGAGACCCTCACTATCGATATCTGCTCCTTATCGGTGAATCACCTGCAAGACTCTAGCTCTGTGCTTTGTGCTCACTCTGCGATCCCCTTCAGGTGACACCAGCAGTATTTTCTCATTGCTTCTATCGGGTAACAATGCAGCTTTGAGCACCTGCCAAGTTGGTGTTGGCACTGCCCTGAGTCCCCGGGCTGAAGCTGATCTGGTTGTTTGGATCCCAATCAATAGCCTCATGTGTGCGGACCTATTGGCTAGCTCCTTCAAAGCTTCGCAGTTACGCGGGACCAATAGGTGTCCATTCGTAACCGCTGCCCACGCGCCGCAAAACTCTAGAGATGTTTCGGTAAAAAAAGGACATTTACTGCCAACTGACCGGGTTTCTTCGTCGTAGAAGAAGCACGGACACTGCTATGCTGGTGGGGGTCTGAACGCTCAAGCTGGAAAATTATTCATTGATGAACTGCATCTGGGAGGCCAACGCGGTGTAGGCTTCCGTAATGTTAATGGTGAGCGGATACTTCTTTTGTGTAAAGCTGCCTGATTATTTCTTTCGAGCATTAACTTCCGACATAGCACTCGCCGGAGGGTGACTTGGCACCTACAAGCCTCGAACCAGCCTTGGAGGTAAATCGATCACATTTCAATCAGTTATAGCTGTAGAGGCTAAGTCCAGAATTGTCGCTTGATTTGGAGGACATGCGTGGACACTGAGCATGTACTTGTATGTGGTGACATGAGAATGCGTTTTGGCAGATGACAACGACGATGTTGTGAGCGCATTGACACCAGGCAATTGGTGGAGGCCAGCTGTTCTGCATGCGTATCGAAATACGTTGACCTGCGGGTTGAGTAAGCGCTCACAGGAGACAACTGAAGTTTATTGGTCGCTTTTTCACCAAAAGTTACTAGCAGCAGGTAAATTCTCATGTGGTATGTCTAATAGTCAACATGGACCTTGGGTCTCTTCGCATTCTCTGGAACTTATCGATGCTCGCCGGCATGTTTCGGCTGGAAGCGAACCCAATGAAACCCGCAAAGTGTTCCGGGAAAACTCCGTGCTAGCCTGAAGAAAGACTGCGAATCCTTGTGGTTTCTTCGTGCGTCAGAGAAAGTAGTGGCCACTGGCCATGGTAACCATCGAAAGTTGATGGGTCTGATACAGGAAACGCGCAGCAGGAGACCTGGTGTTAGTAAAACCATAAATGACGAGAGTGGATAGCCTATCCACAACTTGTCAAAACGTTTGGAGCGTTGGACTGAGCACTTGGAAAAGTAATATAAACGGCCGGAATTGTTAGATATTTACTGGCCAATGATTGTCCTGCTCCCAGGGCTGTCCCTTTGAATCCGCCCTCTCGCTCAGAATTCAAACGTGAGATCGGACTACTGAAGTTGGACAAAGCCGCGGGACCAGATTATCTACATTCAGCCATTTTCTAATTCGGGGACCCTGCTATAACTGATGATTTACACGAATTACTAGTGAAACTGTGGGAGCAGGAAATTGTCCCAACCGACTGGAGCCGCTCCGTTGTAGTTGCGATCTTCAAAGCAGGCTCGCGTTCGGAATGCTGCAACCATAGATGAATCAAACTGATTCCCATCGCCTCCAAATTACTTGCCTCTGTAATTCTTTACAGACTGACTGGCGCTCGTGAAAGCCAGATTCGTGGGGAGTAGGTCGGATTTCATCGGGGTCGTTGCTGTATCGACCACATCTTCACTTTACGTCAATGGTTGGATCCCCGTCACATATATCGGCGGCTCACCGTACTCGTGTTTCTGGACATCAAATCTGCCTTTCATTCGGTTGGTCGTGTGCACTTTGGGACTGTTTACTCAAAAAAGGTGTGTCCATGCAAAATGTAAATATTATCCGCGCCATATACGCGCGTAGCACGGGCAGAGTGAGCACTTACGGCAAACTGTTGCCGGCTGTTTTCACCTTTCCTCTGCAACTTCGCTACTGACGAAGTTATGCTGCTTGCATTCACAGGATGTGACTTAGGAGATGTTCAGCTGCTCCCAGGAGAACGACTTGTTGACTTAAGGTATGCTGACATTATTGCCCCCATCAAGGACAGCTCCCAGAAATGGCAAGCTGCGCTAGACAGATTAGCACTGGCTGTCAGACGCTTCGGGCTTTGCTTTACACCATCGAAGTGCAAAGCTTTTCTCCAAGATTAGTAGGGATTGACACCTGGGCAGACCGTTGGTGGGAATCAGCTAGAAGTGATTCAGAAATTCGACTAGATGGGAATTTGTATCTGCGGGATCGAAGATGAGATCACGAACCGTATGGCAAAAGCTTGAGGCACTTTTTTAACCTTCAGCATTTATAGCGCCGGTGCGACATCACGCTCGCCCTGAAGGGTAGAGTGTACAATGCATCGGTACGTTCGGCCCTACTGTACGACTGCAAAACCTGGCTCCTTAGATCAGCAGACATAAAGTGGCTGGTTAAGTTCGAGCGCCGATGCCTTCGCAATTTTGCTCACATCTGGTGGTAACACCGCGTGAGCAACCAGCACACACACAAGGCTCCGACGGCTCGGTCACGTGTTAGCATGCCAGCTCAGTGGCTATATCGACGTGCGTTGTTTGCTCGTCGGGAGTGTGGATGGAAGAAGCGGCGATGTGGTCAAACCATGACTTGGTAGAGAGGAATGAAGGCGCTCACTTCGGTGCTGGCCTCGGTTGGAACGTCACGGCTCCCTGTTTGGGGTGCAAAAGACGATGAACATAATTGGCTAGATACACTTGCTGACATGGCTGCGAGCGGGCCTCATTGGCGTTCGTGCTGTTGGTTTGTTTGACCCTCTGATTCCATTTTAGTCTCCCCTCAAACCACCAACTTATTTAGAGGCATAATCTAATGTTACCTAATAATAGTTTGTCGTCTGGTATTCTGCTAGTAGATTTCGGGAACGATGCCCATCCGTTGCTGGTAGCTGAGCTGGCACGCGACTGTTGCATTTACTTTCTTTTTTTCTTTTATGTATTGCGGCACAGTAGTTGAGGTGTTTTACACCTCTAGCTAACATGTATAATAATGAATGATGAGTTGCTGAAATCGAGCGTTTATTTCCGGCTCACTCTCTGACGCGATCTTCAGTTGGAAATAAGTGTTCCCGTTTTGGAAATATTGAACACCGTAGAAAAGATAAATTATATCTTGCAAGGAGTACAATTTGCCGGCATTGCGGTAAGCATGGTCATTTTGCTCAAGTTTGTCGTTTCCGTGCCATTTCTTGTGTAGAGTCTGCGAATAACTTTAACACTCCTCCAGTCACGATTGAACATTCCATATATGGGGTTGGTGCGTGCGAACACCCAGCTTGTTTTATCACTCATGAACCCAAACTGCATTCACCAGATATTCGTTTCGTGCCTT